TGTGACACCAAGGTTCCATTTCAGAGTAGATTTCTCAAGCACAAAAAGCAAACCCTGACCTTTGGCCTCCAGAATAATGGGACCAGGCTTTACAGCAAACAGTAATTGTCTTCTGTGCTTTGGAAGCCATTGTTTCTGGATGTTACAATGAGGAGCTGTTTAAAAGCTCTTTATTAAGCCCATAAATAAGATGTTGTTTGGTAATTAAGTGCGGGTACGTTGCAAATTTGCTCACTATTCCACTCCATTGAAAACACCAATGCAATTAGAAGAAAGAGCTGAAAGGCAGGACACCTGTGCTCAGAAACTCTACTCTGTACTCCCTGTATTCATACTTTGCTACTGGAGACGCCTGGACACAGATGTTCTCTTTGTATTGTGGTTTTGATGTATACGGAATCAGTCGAGACTTTCGTTTCTAAAGATTCTTGTGCATCTTACGAACTATTGATGCTGCTGTTGAATCTGCTGATCAAAGAACCAAGAAAATCACTCGTGTGTGTACATGTGTATGTGTGTGTATACAAGCACATGTGTATACTGTGTTTGTGATACACAGTAGTACCAATGAAATGGTTAACGAAATCCTAAACAATTAGCTTGAGGCTGTGGAGGAATGGATAAGATGGATTTGGGTCAGTTTGGATTCTTTTAGGTCATTCCTCACATTAGCCTTGAAGTGGCTTTCTGGACAGGGATGGTCCTTCCATCCACCTTAGAAGTCTGTACCGCTGTGGAATTCTCCTGCATTTTAACCTGAAGCAATACATTAATTGTGCTGTGAATGGCGTTTGCACTGCCAAGGTGTTCTGTGCCTAGGTGTGGCTGGCCAGGGCTGCACGGCCTTGGCAGCCCTAGGAGCTCCTCAGAGAAATGTTGTGAAGAGCAGCCCTGGTCTTATTGCTCTCAGCAGTTTCCATCTGAACACATGTATCCTTTGCTACTCCTTCTTTTTCACATCACCACTTTCTTTTCCCACATTTTACTACCTTTTCTTTTCATTCCAGTTCAGACACCTCACTTGACACAGCTACATTAATCCCCTACAGGAGGTATCAGGCAATCTCGGTAGGAGATAGGAAGGTAATTTTAAAAGAATGACGGCCGCAATTTTTTATGTGCTTACTGTGGTCCTGATGTTGTCTGAAACGTGTTTAATTTGTTTATCTGTTGCTCACGTTAACCGTGGAGGCAGGTGTGAGGATCATCTGTGTTTTAGTTGTGTCAGGGGGACATTTCTGACCAAGCATGGGTACTGCACTCCTGGGATCCCTTCCCACAAGTAACCCCCATCGGATACAGGAAGGACCTCTCCTCTGTATTTTTACATTTCAGGTTTTTACGTTAAATTTTAGGTCGCACACGAGTGTGTGCATGGTGTGCCCAAGTGCATGTGTGGGTGTGTGGTACTCGTGCATGTACTGTGTGTGTGTGTGTGTGTGTGTGCTGTGTGTGTGCTGTGTGTGTGTGTGTGCTGTGTGTACACAGCTAGGGGCCAACGCTGGGTGTTCTCTATTGCTTTCCATCATAAGAAATGCAGTCATTCACTCAACCTGGTGGTCACGGCCTGGACACTGATCTCAGAGGATCTGCTTGTCTCTGATGCCCTAGTAATGGGGTCACAGGCAAGCACAACCACACCCAGCATTTTGAGTGGGTGCAAAGGATCCGATCTCAGGTCCTCACACTCAGGCAACAAGTATTTTACCCATCCTGTCTTCCCAGATCTGAGGAAACATTTTCAGGGGGGCTGACAGGCTTCTTTGGGGCGTATGGTGACTCGTCTTCTCCTAGGTGGTATGGGTGTAGCAAGAGGTTCACACGGCTGCTTCCTGCACAGTTCCTCTGTCTGCACTGCGTTTCATTCCTGTGCCTCCCGAGAGATAGCCTGATCCTGAGGAAGTATGAGACAGTTATGAGCAGGTGCTTTGCTTCGTGGTAAACTGAAGAAGGTTGGTGACGTTAGAGGAAGGTGAAAGTGGCAGAGAAGGGTTGGTATGATGACGGTTCTCTGCCAAGACTACCTCACGACCTTCAATTCCCATTGAAATCTCCGGGAAATGCTGGTTAGGTTGAGGAGCTTGTGGGAGGTCACCGTGCCTGGCCCTTTAGCACTATGCCCTGGAGAGGTCAGGGAGAGGCCCTGTGGAGCCCATGGCACACATCCAGTGCACAGAGATGTTAGTGACATCTGTGGAACTGACAACAGGCTTTTAGAATGAGTAGCTCCCTGCTCTCCAAGCCCTACTGTAATGGGCTCCCTTACGTTCTGTCTTCAATGTGCAGACACGGAGTGTGCTGCTGAATGACAACTCTAATTGCTGTTTTCTCCTAATAACAAAATGCTGTTATGAATAGCTAGAGATTAAGCAACTAAGACGATCCACTCACTCTGCGCTTGTTACCTCATCTCCACAAAAAGAAATGCGCAGCTCCTAAGACTTTATTATCTGTTGTGTAGACTCATAAAAACCTAAGAGTGTGTGTCCTTCCTGTGCTCGTCGGAGCCGCTGTCATCCGCAGCCCACCACCATCTCATTTGTTGATATTGTGGTGCTTGTGAGAGGCGATGAGAGACTCCACACCTCCGTGAGGAAACTTGGAGCCGCACGGTGAAGATGAGACTGTGCCGCAGACGTGGTGCATAATCAAATTTTATTACTTCAGCTAAATTTTTATCCCTCACACTGTTCTTTGATGCGGCCACATTCATAACACAGCTACTGGTCTGAAATAAGACATGTGAGCGGAACAGTAATGGGCTTGCTTTTTAATGTGAAAAGAGATTGGAACTGTATTAAATGACAAGATAATGGAAAAATAAAGCAAAAGATAAAAGGGCAATAACTTTTGTGGTGTGGTTAAAGCTGGATTTCGGAACATGGGCTCACAACTTATCCACTAACTGTTGGTTTCCTTTGAAATCTTCCTCTTAATTATAGTATGTGTGATGTTCTCTAATGGCTCCTGTCTGAGGTGTTAGTGCTGTGGCTGGACCCTAGCTAGAAGGAGGACGGTGCTTACAGGCACTTTATTCCAGCTATCCCAGTACCAAGGGCACACCTCAGGCCACCAGTCCAGGAAGCCCTTGTTGTACTCCTAAGTTGACAACCACTTACCATGCAAAAGATAAGAAGGCCCCTTTGCAGCCCCACGAGGCTACAGTCACCCCCAGCTCTCCGGCTGTCTGCTGGGATTCTTCCAAGAACACTGATGTCTGCTCTCATTGTCTCCCCTTGCATCCTAGAGCCTTAGCCTTGACACTCAGGCCCCTTGCTTGTCCCTCATTTCTGTGTCTGAGCTGCTCTTGACAGTTGCAGTAGAGCTGGCATAGGATGTTTTGTGCCTAGGCCTTAGAGTGGTTAGATGGCAACAGTATCCCCAGGAACTTATCTTTTCCTCACAGCCATGAGATGAGCAGCTGGGATGGACAGAGAGAACCACATCAGCCTTCATGTGGCTGGGGCTCTGCCTGACCTCCCCATGAACTCTAGGTGGGACGGACCAACCCAGGATTACCAGCTTTGTGGATGTTGTGGAAGGAGAATAGTCAGTGGAGAGACACAAGGGAAGACAAACCAGAGAAGCAAGGAGTGGGGAGGGTTAAATGACAGGTGATGAACCAAGGCCCAGTCTGAGACTTGATACTGGGGAGTCAAGGTCCACCCCTGCTGAAGAAAGCCACTCCTCTTCCTGCGTAAGGGTCAGCTTGTGGGGACATCCAGTGAAGTACAGTTGACCTCAGCCATCATATTGAATCAGCTCAGAAAGGCTCCAGCCTGGGGAAGAGTGTGGGAAGAACCCACAGTGATGGTCTAGGAGGGGTAGGCAGCCCACAGTGACTAGAGCACTTGCTTCTCAGGCTCCTGAGCTCCAGCCAGAAAGAGCCTGAGATGGAGGTCAGTGGGGGAAATGGGCGGGAAGGAAGCCTCCCCCGGTGTTCCAGAGTACGTCAGTGGGGTCAGTGGGTGGGGTGTGGAGGTGCCCTACGGTCCCCCGCTATGTCACTCATGGAGCAGAGTTTGGGGGAAGAGCAGAGGCATGGTGGTCTCCTCGTTGGGCCTCTCTGTTCATGACCCTAAAATGTAGAAAGTTGGAGATGAGAAAGTTGCCCCCACAGCTTACCTTTCTGGCAGCATGTGACATTAAACAATGATCTCATGATTAATTCATTAGTTCTAATATGTTGCTTCACCAGGCAATGTTGCAAATTAAACATCAGATGTTAGTTTTCAAGTGTTTAAAGCCAAACCAAAATGCTCCAGTGTAATTGATCTACAGCTAGGTTTGTGTGTGTGTGTGTGTGTGTGTGTGTGTGTGTGTGTGTGTGTGTGTGT